GTTCTTTTAGGAAGAGAGTATCAGAGGCTGGTGTTGACTTTGACAATCTACTGTGGATGTGGAGTAAAGTGGAACCGTGAGGATATGCACAACCAACTCTCACCAAGACCAACCCACTGGGGAGTGAGTGTCTTGAGGAACCAAATATCCCCTTGTGTGTGTCCTCTGAGGGTCAGCTCTCAGCTCTGGTTCCCACACTGAGGGTCACACTTGGCCCTGTACACAGGAGCTGCACTCATGTGTTCCCTTTAGTGTGCAGACATCAGCAGGCTGTCTCTCCCTTCTCCTCCCAGGGAAACCTCACTCATTTGGGTGGATCATGTGCCCCCAAAAGGCAAGTTGAAGTCCTAACTCCCAGGACCTATGAGTGTGACCTTGGTTGAAAATGGCTTTTTTTTTCTTTTCTTTTCATTGAAAAGGAAACAATCAACTGTTAAGAACTGGGTAGGGCCAGTTTATCACATGAGAGAAAGGGAGTACCAAGCAGGTGAGGTCCACACAAGGCTAGACTAACTGCATTAATGAGCCTAGCAGAAAGACCTCTGTTTCTTGACAATATGCATCATGAAACTAAAAACCATCTTGTTCAATGTGGCTTGAACAACAGCCTCCGAATCTTCTTGTCATGGCTGTCAGTAGGAGGTGAAGTCCTTGACGCTGTCATTGTCCACCATCTTTGTTGTTCTGCTCTTCTTTTTCAAAATTTTTTAAATTTTTATTATTTTTCTGTGTGTGTATTGTCAAATCAGATCTGACTGGTACATGAGGAGATTGTCTCTCCTCCAGCAGAGCACCTGTCTTCTGCTCTTTTTCCATGGTAGCAGCTGGGCAGTGACCCAGGCTGGACACATGAGTTATTGTAGATGGTCTCTTACTGTATGATAGCCTTGCTTGAGCTCTGTTTCCAAATGGGTGATTTTTGCCATTTTCTGAATGAAGTCTTGGAGCTTTTCCTGGCTAATCTTGTGGTAGTTATAAATCTAATATAACCTTTCAGACATCAGATCCAAAACCTTAATCTTAAATCTGCCCTTAAAATATCTCATGAGCTCATGGTCCTTTGGCCTGCTTCGTTGACATTTGGATGAGGTCCTGGGCTTGCTTCTTCAAAATCTCAGTGGCTGAGTCTAGAAAGGAGAAGTAGGATGTTAACCTCCCTTCCAACATCATTTGGCAGTTGGCACTGGTGATAGCAATAAAGGGTAGAAACCTGACTTCTAGCTAGGCCCCTAGCAGCGTCACCCTCATCCTTCTGATGCTCCACGCTGCCCTCAAATGGCCACAGTTCCTAGCCCTTGGCCTCCAGGTTGGGCATGTTCACCTGAAACAGGTGCAGCATAGTCCCCATCACTTTATCCTACCTTTTCCTGCTTTCCTGGAAAATGGGATCTTGAAAGATGTTATCAGAGGTCCAAAAGCCTTGGTGGAATGGTGGTTAAAGCTCCTGACTGCTAATTGAAAGGTTAGTGCTTTAAGCCCTTCAGATACAACAGTGTTTCTGCAAAGATTACAGCCTTAGAAATCCTATGGTGCTGTTCTAATCTGTCCTCAGCAGTCGTAATGAGGCAGAATTGATCCAACAACAGCAATGGGCTTTTTTTTTTTTAATATGAGGTCATATTGACATTGAATGAATCCTCTTTTTAATTTTGTTTGTTTGTTTTTTATTTAGGTTGTTTATTTTTCATTTCAATGACATTGAATGAATCCTAACCCTCTATTTACGGCTCTCTCTCATTGCTGTTGAATCAGGACCGACTCATAGCTGGCCCTCCAGTAGGTTTCAGAGGTTGTAAACGGCACAGGAGGAGATTGCTTATCTTTCTTCCTTGGAGTTGCTGGTGGATTCCAACTGCCTTTGAGTTAGCAATGCAATTCCCTACAGACTACATCAACAGAGCTCCCTCTGCTATGTATTGTTGTGTACTGTCGAATCAGAACCAATCCATACTTGACCCTCTTGGTGGGTTTTCGGAGGCAGTTAATTGCACAAGAGGACTGCCCATCTTTCACTCTCGGAGCAGCTGATGGCCTCAAACTGTGCCTTCAGATGGCAGCACAGCTTCTTGCCACTAGGCCATCAGAGCTCCTTATAAAAGAGAGGACACACAGACACAGAAGGGTGCCATTTGCAAACTAAGCACCATCTAGATCACTGGAAGCCGACAAAGCCCTCAGAGCCTCAGAGGAGATCAACAGTACTTGCTCCTGACTGTGCACTTTGCAGCCTCTGGAATTAAGACAAATATACTCTGTTCTTGAGGAGTCCCCAGTCTGAGGCACTTCATAATAGCAGCCTTCAGGGGCAGAGACAGCCTCTGTGAGACTGGTTTCACAGGTGGAGAAACCCAGGCACAAAGGTATTCCTTGGCCTGGTCTCTTCCAGAGTCTTCTCTGGTGAACAGGGGAGAGTCTTACAAATTTCTTCTCTCAAACCTCATTCCTTCCTGATTAAAAAAGTCACAATGGGGACAAAACCCCTTTGGCCAGCTTTTCTTACAATCAGAGACCAACACAACCATCTCCAGTTGTGGAAATAAGAGTATCGATGTTTTCACTGGTAATATGAAGTGTACACTGAAGTCACCCACTGGTTGTGCCAGAATAGCCATCAGCAGTATCCTCAGTGAACACAGAGCTGATTAGCAAACACGGACTGAGGGCTGCCCGTTGAGGCAGAGGCTCTGGGACTTTCTGGTCTGAGTGATCTGAGTCTGTGTCATTCTAGACTGGCAGAAGAACCTGCTTTTATATGCCAGTGGTTTTAATGAAATAATTTCACTAGCTCAGAGAATGTTTAGCTATCTTCTAGAAGAAGGATCTGTTATGTTTACACTCTGGAATTTGGCAAGCATTAGAGCATGAGTAAGCCTAACTTTCTTGCTAATTAAAATCATTAAGACAATCAGGGCTCCATTCCAGTCAGCAGCTTGGGAGAAGACTCAGAGTGATTCATGACCAAATGAAAACGCTATTCACTAAAACTCAAGAAACTGAAACAATGTTGTCCAACAATAAACTAGAATTTTATTTTGCTGATTTATTCTAAGGAAAAAAAAACCTCAAAAAAGAAAAAAAAAGCAAAAACCCTTGAGAAACCTCCCCTTGATAATCTAAAAAAGGCATAGGAAGTAACACCTTGCAGTGTGTGTTAGGTGACATCAGAGGCACAGGCAAGAGGGGGAGGAAGCTTAGCTACTGGGAGTAGAATTCACAGCTGGGCATTGTTCTCCCAGGGCCCCTGGCTCCCCTCAGCCCAGTTGTCTTTGTGTTGCACCTTGACAATGATTTGCTCTATTCCCTGTGCCCACCATCTTCCTAGCTTGAGTACTCTTCCTGAGTGACTTCCTGGGTCTAAAGTCCTCTCCCACAAGACACAGGCCCTTTCAGAGTCTCCAGACCTAAAGAAGAGTGCTCACTGGACTACATGTGATCCAAGCAATCATATTTACAGCAACTAGGAGTATGTCAGCCATTGTGTGTGCCATGATTGATCATGAATCAAAGAAAAAGTCCTTGTCAGAAATGATGAAAATTATACAAGTGTTCAGAAATGAGGTGGCTGTCTGCTGAAAGATAGAAGCCCCTTAAGTGGAACTTTCATGGCTTTTCACCTACAGGTTCCTTCCAACCACTCTCCTGCCCCAGGCTAGTCCTATGGTTTGGTCTTACCCAGCAGCCTCAGCCTTGCCTCAGATAGTCACTGGATTCCAGGTGGGCATCAGAGCAGTCTTGTAGCTAGTGTTTTATGTGCTGGGCTGCTGACTGAAAGGTCTGTGGTTGGAATTCACCAGCTGTTCCATGAGACAAAGAGGAGACAGCTTCTGCCCTGGACTTACAACACCAATCCTCCAAGAAGTGAGTTTGGGCTTGGATCAGCATTAAGACAAGCTTCATCCTCACATTCCCTCCTCTGTTTCTAGTCATTTCCATACAAAGATTGTCATGGAGAAGGTAGGTGTTACAGGAGTGAGAAATTCAG